ACTCAACCCACAGGGAGTATCTTCACAATCACAATGCTGCTGCTCGCCTCGGGCTACGCCATTCAGTGACCGCCAGCAAAGGGATCCTCATCACTGTCTGATCAGCCAGGAGCCAATCAGCCAGGAGTCCCACCAAAAGGATTTTCTGATACTCATTGTTTTAAACTCAGTTGAGCCCAGAAAGCAGAACCAGAGAAAACGGCTGGTGTGGAAGCAGACCCTGGGGGGAGGAAGGGCAAGAAGCTTGTAAACAATTTACAGAAACAGGAAAAGGGGCCTGGTAAGAATAAGACAGAAAAGGAGGGAAGTCAAGGCAAGAGCGCAGGATCAGGCTGGTCACTGCTAGGGACCGTTGGGGCTTGATTCTGTCAGGGCTCTCTAAGGACACATTTAAAATGGGCCTCTATTCTGTCTCCCAAAGGACAGAAGGGAAACCATTTCCCATTAGCCCTCATTTTGGTCAAAGACTGCTGCTACATAGTGTGCGCTTATTCTACTGAGCTTTCCAGTTGCTTTGCAGAATTGTCAGTCTGCAGCTTCGGGGAGACCCAGGTCAAAAAGCATTCAAGACACAGGATCATGCTACGATGAAGCACCGTCAGGGTACACCTGCCCAAAGGTGTTCAGTGCAGCACTAGGTGGAGTAAATGAAAAGAGGATGTGAAGCAGCAACAAGATGTCCAGTGCCTGTTTGCAGAACAGTCCGCCCATTGAGGCAAGTTGCTTTATAGACTGATCAGGTCCTCAAAGCAATAGGCATAGTAAAAGGCAAAAGCTACATGAAACCCAGCAACTTCGACTTTGAGGCAAATCAAAAGCGGATCTTATTGACTGGTAACTTTGAAGGGGCTATACCATTCTTGCATACCATTTTCAATCCCTTGCCCTACAGTTTTGAAACTACTGGCCTCGGTTTTCCTTTTCCTGCTTTTTATCCTATATCCCCAATGAATTTTTTTACTTCCCTTTATTGTTCTACGTTTTTGCACTACAAATAGCCTTAACCCACATACACCAACATTTCTCTGCTTTTTTGGACCAGCCAGTAAGGTGATCTTTCTAAATGGGGAAAACCAATCTGCTTTATTCCTTTAAAAAAAAAAGTGTTCTCACTTCATGCTCATCTCTGTTGTGTTCTATGGCAACAAAACCAACCCCTTTCAGAATTCAGTACCTGCTGTCATCCTGATCTCTTTGACATTCCTTCACCTACACTTTCAAAGTGGCCCCTAAGTTTCACTCAGTCATTGACAATTCGATGCCAGTCCCATCTCTAAGCCCTGCAAACACGCTTCAAGTCAAAGACTGTTACTTCTTTTGTATACATGACATGAGAAGGCCGAGGTTCAGGGACAATCGATCCCCAAACCCCGCAAAGGAAGGCTGTGGGTATGTCAGCAGATTTCCACTATGGTATTGCCTTCCAGCTCTCAGTACACTGAGTGTGGGAGACAGAAGGGCTTCCCGCACTTGGATATGGTGCTGCTCTTGAAGGACTTCCAGCTCTAATGCTCACCATAGCCCATGGCTTGGAGAGATTGTCTAGGTCCCAGCTCCCCAATGTGCAGAAATAACTAACTGGCCTACCATCACCTGGTTACAGGTGTGCGAGATAGCTGTCTCCTCAGTTCTCAGGAGGGCCTGAGAGCCACTGGGACGAGAAAGCTCTCTAGGTCAGTGTTTCCAGCAGCATCTTTATCCGGTGACACCGTGAGCTGTTGAGAAGTGACACTTGGGACGCAGAGAGGAGTAAATCTCTTAGTCCAAAGAGAAAGAGTCACGCTAGACATTCGTGAGTGTGTCTGTCAGTATTTACTCTGAAGGAGAAATGGAATGGGGGGAGAAAGGGCTGCAAGAGAGAGACTGGGTGAAAGGAGATAGATAGAAATAGTGTCAAAATGTTAGTTAGCTGCGGGGACTTGGAAGAGCAAAGGAAAGAGAAAAATGGCATTTGAGATCTCCAAAGCTGCTGCTAGGAAGCACGGATGAGCACTTTGAAGTTACTCAAATGCCAGTGATTCTGAGCTACTCGTTCTAATACCCTAGGCTAGTGAATTGCCAATGAATCTCAAAATTTCATAATTCAATCACTGATTACCAATAAAGATACAAACTCATAAATTCTTGTAGGGAGGAAACTTAAAAATCATCAAATACTGCTCTTTATCACGGGCAATAATCACTTCCAAAATATCTAGACAATCCACTCCCAGCCTTTGCTCCAGAAGCTGTATGGGGGTGGGGGGGAAGAGGACAACTTCTATCTCAATCAGATAATTAATGAATTTCAACCTGGGTGGGGGAAAATCTTGAGTTTAAAATTTCTTATTCTGTAGTCTCATGCGCCCCCTGCTGACTAAAATTATCTCCTGCCACACTTCCAATCTCAGAATTTATTAAGCCACGGATACTGTATTAATATCGATTCATTTTAAATAATAAAACTTCCCCAGGATATGATTTTAAATTCACTTGACATTTGGAAGTCGCTTGTATTTAAGGCAAAGGTTTGCATGATTGCTTGCTCTTAGAAGCCATTTAAACTTTTATCTTTTGTCACCACCTGCTGGTAGAACATTTTTCTCACTTTTTTCCACTTATGTTTGTTGCTATGGAAAATCTCTAAGTCAAGAAAATGAGTTACCTTTAACACTGATACTCAAGTATTAAACTTAACATTGATAGTCAAGCGTTACTGTATATTAGACATACAGTAGACACTTATATATGTTTAATGAATGAGGTTTTAATTTGATTTAGTGAATTACAATATCTACGACCTTTTTACCTTTTTATTTGAATTGCATAAAGCTCTCAAATGTGAAAAATGAAAGTGACCCACAGTATTATCTTATCCGAGGTATTTTTATTTTGTAAAATTTAATTGATTTTTGGTTTAAGCTAACAGAGCTACACAATTAAAAAGTATCTAGCTAAGAAATTTTATTAAGACTGTAGACACACTTAAAGTTACCATACTTAAAAGATGTTTTTCACAATACCAAAAGATAAGGGAAAATTTGGTAAAATTTTATTAAATATGCTTGAAAAGGTATACTTTTGCAAATTCCCACCTTGAACTACTGAGTTGTACATCATTTGTTGTAGACCGTCGCCACCTTGTGGAATGAAAGAGGTACTAAAGACTATGGACCTTTAAGGTGGAATTGTTATTGCCAGAAAATTCCCATTTACAAGTTAAATGAAATTAAATCGTTGGAAGCAACAGCAAAAACAAGTCTGACAACATACTTGACCTACCAAACAATCAGATAATTAAAACTCCAAACAGATATTTGATTAAAAGCTATGAGTTACAGTCTTTTCTAAGCCCCCAATTTGGCTTACATTTAAAGCAAGCCCCCTTCGAGGCACAATTCATGATCTGTGAAACAAGGGGAGTGGATTGCACAGATTATACTCTTCTCAATTCTTACAAATGTGTGATTTTAGGGTCATAACAATTTGTAGTCCAAATGCAATTTACACTAATTTTTCTATTTTCAATGTTATATTCCTGAACATTTAACCTGCTTAAAAATAAATGTTTTTATTTATTTTCTTTTATGAGCAAATGAAATATCCAGTTTTTCAATCTTACTTTAACCTATATACCCCAAAAAGGACCACTAAACAGCTCTTCTATTTCTAATTGGCAAATCCTATGGTAGGAAAATATGAATAAATAGTATTATATGTGTATAAAATATGTACATTAATCATTTCTGTAAGAAGCAGTCTTACTAAAACAATGCTAATAGCACGTGTGTGCTACTAGACTCCCTCATTTGATGGCTACTTGTTGAATACTTAATTTGGTGTAGACTTCTAAGAATTATGAATATTGTGTCTGTAAAGATGAGTAAGTGAAACACATACAAACACATAAGGCACAGGTAAAAATACTTGCTTCTTTTACTTTAAAATGCTTGAAACATTCTCATTTCTTTGTTAATAGAGGACAAGAATGCTTTTAAAAGGCCAAACCATTCATTGTAAGAATATTACTGTCAAATACAGGGTAGGGCAAAAGAAGGTTTACAGTTGTGAGTACATGAAACACAGTTACTTATTGTATTATTTTCTATACAAACAGTTGTAAACCTACTTTTGCCCAACCTTGTATTTTAACTTTAGTTAGCTCCTCTTTACGAAGAATAAAAACTGGTGAAGGTCCATAAATTAGAACATATCAAAATGTATGTTTTCATAAGCACATATGTATTCTATAAAAAGAAAGCCAGAAATATGGTAGGGCTCAAGACAAGATGCAAACTTTTGGGTGCTCATTTAAATTGAGGAGCAAACATTTTATAAGAGAGAGAGCGTGAAACACTATTAACAAGGACTCAATATTATATGTCATTTTTTACTAGTGCCATGTACACATTGTATTTCTCTTGGTCTTGTTTCCACAGTAAAATATTTTTTCAATTCACAATTTTGCTAACAAATATACATATATGTATATATTTATGTAATACCATAAATGCCCAAAGAGTGCTGGTCTTTAAAAAAAAAAAAGTAGATTAAATGTTCTTCTGAGCATAGATGGAGTTTTTCAAGCTCAGTAATTGGCAGTTCCTACATTCATGCCTCTGTTGAAGCGATTAAAAAAGAATCATTTCCCAGAACTACAGGTGCAAGACAGATTGGAGTCATTATGCAAAAGAACAGAAATCTGGAGAGAAACCTAGTGAATAAAAAAGCCATGTTCCTGGCCATCCGTTTGCCTTTAGTTCTCTGTTTTTTTCAGCTCTATTTGGATATACAACATGAAATATGCAAAAATTACAATGGATTTGAAATAAAGCATTCAAGCTTAGAGATCTGTGCCTTGAATTAAACAGACATCCAATAGGAATGCACCGGGGGCAGAAATGAATTGAAGGCCAAGCTCGTATTCATATATTTAAAAAGCTAACGTTTATGCAGGGAGAGGTAGCAGTTTGGAACACATTACATGAGTTTTCAGAAAGTTACACATTTTCTTGCTGGTTTTCTGAATTCCCCATCATGCCCCAGTTCAAGGGACTCCCATGTACCCCTAGTTCCCTGCTAAAGCTCTCCGCCCCAGGGCCCCCTCCCATTTCTGAAATCCCCATCTCAAAGCCACTCCGAGGCCCCAGCCGCGGGTCGCCTTGGAAGGTTTTCAGAGCCCTCGTCTAAGCAAAAGGTTGGAAGCTTGATGGGTGACTCCGCCGTCTCGCTTTCAGAATCCCCCAGTCCAGACCGTGCGCGTGTGAAGACACCTCTCCTCAAACCTTCTCCCAAGTATCGACCTTAATGAAATAATAGTCTTTTTTTTTTTCTTTTTCTTTTTTAAAAGGAAGCTTAACATCAGCTTCTGGACCGGAGTGGGCGGGAGAATGTAAAACACCTCTGGACACTAAACTGACAAGTGGGGATGTTGGAGCAGTGACACGTGTGACGCATAGAGAAGCAAGTGCCTCCCTTCGAGGATGAGCATAGGCGGGCTGGACGGCGTGGACAGGAGTGGGACCCCTCACGAGTGTGTCTGTCAGTATGAAATGCGAAGGGGAAATGGGAGGGGGTGAGAGGGCTGTACGGGAGAGACCGAAGGGAGGTGGGCAAACACAGTGCTGCCACCGTGCCAGGGGGTGTGAGGAAGGGGGGGCCAGGAGAAACAGAAGTGGGAATCAAGAACCTTGCGCTGCTACTTAAAAACACATGGTAATTCCTGGGTTGACCATTCAGCGTTTAACTCTGACAAAAGTTAGAATCAAAGAAAGTTACAGTTTAGAAAGCACAGATTCCTAAACGTGTGAGGACCAGAGGCTGGTGCTAAACTCTCTCCAGCGTGAAGTGCTTGGGCTTCTCTGCGCCATGCTTCCTCATTTGAGCTTTCCGAGAAGAGCGCGAAGCAACATTTGGGGCGTTGTTCAAGGAGGCAATCTAGAACTCACCGAGGAAAGACAAAAAAAAGGTGAAGTTGGAAAGTATTCTGGGAGCACATCTGGAAGAGGGGCGCATTGGAGGGTGGAAGGGGACGCCTCGAGCCGGGGCAGAATGAAGTTGGAGAGACCCGCGAAGGAGTGGGGAAGGGGCCGGGAGGAGCTCGCTGGGCCCTGGGGGCGGGGGACCCGGGAAGGCCGGGAGGCGAGCGCGCGGGGGGCGAGGGACGCGGGATTCGGCGGCCATTCTCACCATTGTCCCCGCGTGGATGCGTTATGAAACATTTCCTTCCCCTGTGTCATTGAGCCCCTCCCTCCTTTGCGATGGAAGAGAGGCTCAGCTTTTTCTTAGGGACCTAATGGTGGAAAGGCTCAGCTGTTCTCGCTGCTGTAACACGGATGCAGCCTTTTCCCCTTCTGGTGGGAAGAGGAGGGAGGGGCCCAGGAAGGGCCTACGGTCCCCACTGCACGCTTTCCAGCCCCAGCGCCCCCGCGGGCCCCTGGGTGGAAACGCGGGGCTCCCCGACGCTCCTGCCAGCCCGGCCTCTGTCCTGCCGCCGCTGGGAGGTTGAGCAAGGCAGGCAGGGTGAGCGGGAGCTGATCTTTTCTCGAAAGAGGAGGAGAAAGCGCAATTCCCTTCCTAAGCTCTAGGGAACTGAACCGCGTTCCGGATCGCCTATTCCGGAAGTGCGAACCGGGGTCCCCGCAAAGAAGACTAAGGCAGCAGAAGGGGGAGGTGATGTCGGAAGGGGTTCGGGTGAAGGTCAATGCCCACGCATTTTAAAATCCAGAGGCTGGGAAATGTCTCCCGGCCCCCTCACCAAACATGCTTTCCAGGGGCGGCGCTGGGCCAAATAAGCTTTCACTGAGAAAAGTTGGGGCAAAGAGAAAGCACGCGGCAGCAAAGCAGCCCACGGTGGTCTAGCGAGATGGAGAGGCGAAGTGGGGTGTCTTTCTAGAAAAGAGTAGGGGGCTCCCGAGGTAGAGGAGGCGACAGAGGAAGGCGGCGCAGGGCCAGTTCCTGGGCAGAGATGTCTTGGAGGAAGACTCAGCTTCCCAACCCTACTGTCCCCTCTGGGAGCTGCAGCCTAACGCACGACCTGCGCTCCCGCGCCAGAGGGGCGGTTGAAAGGGATGGTGGTCAGGGAAATCGACCGGCGGGGGGAAAGGCGCGGTGGAAGTGAGTACCTCTCCCCTCGGCAGTCCCAGACGTACAAAGCGCTGGTCACTGCGCCCTTCCTGCGTCTTCCGCCCCCAGGTTGACGTGCCCAGGGCGAGGAGCTAGCACGGAGGTCGCCCCCTCCCCCGCCCGGGGCTCGCAGCGCCCAGCGCGGTTTAGCAGAGTTCAGAGGCGTGCCTTCTGGCTAGGAAGGCTGCCAAGAGGGAGGAGGAAGGGGGTGGGGAGGGGATGTCTCAAACTATAAAAGAGCAGTCCCGAGTGCCCGGTTCTTGCACTCGCTGGAAAGCCGCTCCGAGCCAGGGGCCGTTTTAAAGCCAGCTCGTGCAGTAGGGCCGAAAATACAGAGCCCTGCGCAGAGCGAGCATCACCCTGGTCAAGGCGGAGGTCGAAGAGGGGCTCCAGTTTCTTCGCGTGGCCCTTGTGCCCTCGCGTCGGGGGCGTCCCAAGGCGCTTCTTGTTCCCGCAGCAGCAACCCCGCCAGCTCCTGCTGAGCGGTGCCTCTAACTCTACGCTTAGAAGAAAAACTACCCCTTCGCAGGCAGAACTGCAGCGCCTCCACCCGAGTAACTCCGGGAGTCCTGTCTGCGGCCGGCTCTGCGTGCACTTCCAAAAAGTAACACTGTTAACTTTAAGCATCCAGAGCGAGGCCGGGGAGGCTCTTCACTCCCGACCCAAACAATAGCCTCTTCGCTCGGTGCGCTGCGCCGCGCGGTGCCAACCCGGACTCGGGTGCAGCTAGCGGTCCCCGCGGGGTTCCGAAGGCGTGCTGCAGGCAGCGACATGGGGAAGGCGGAGCTGGCGCGTTGGTTTCACCGCTCGCAGCCTGCGTTCGTGCTGCTGCTGCTCGGGTCGGTCGCACCGCTGCTGGTCCTGCCGGGGGCGCATGGGCGCCTCGCCGAGGAGGACGAGGAACTGGTGCTGCCGGTAGTGGAGCGCGACCCGGGAGACCGGAACGTGCACCTCCGCCTGGACGCCTTCAGCCGGCAACTGAGCCTGGAGCTGCAACCGGACCGCGACTTCCTGGCGCCCGGCTTCACGTTCCAGACCGTGGGGCGCAGACTGGGACCCGACGCTCCAAGTCCCGACCCCGACGGTGACCTGGCGCACTGCTTCTACTCCGGCACGGTGAACAGCGATCCCAGCTCGGCCGCGGCACTCAGCCTCTGCGAGGGCGTGCGCGGCGCCTTCTATCTGCAGGGCGAGGAGTACTTCATCCAGCCAGCGCCCGCAGCCTCGGTGCGCCTCGCCCCCGCCGCCGCCGCCGCCGCCGCCGGGGAGGAGCCGCCGACGCGGCCCCAGTTCCATCTCCTGCGGCGGAGACGGCGAGGCGACGGCGGCGCCAAGTGCGGAGTTATGGACGACGAGATTCAGCTCGCGAGGGGCGCGGGCCCGGAGGGCGAGGATGCCGGGGCAGAGTGGCGGCAGAGGGACCCTGCTCCTGAGCGCGCGGGGCAGCGAACAGGTATCTGTCCCAGAAGAATTACTCTCACTTGTCGCTCCCTCTCCATTCCTCCCTCCTCTCCCCCACTTTCCTCTGTGCGACGCAATTTAAAATTCGACTCCTGTTTGCAAACAGGGCCGGGTTTGAGGTCCTGCTGGCACACTTAACTCCGTTTCCTTGCATAACGAGTGATCAAGACAGAACAGACAAATCAATGATTTTCTGCTGACTAAGGCAAAGCGTTTAGACCGGGAAGGAAGAGTTGGTACTCCAGCTCATTCCAACTCAGTCGAGTGAGAGCGTGTGCAAATTCTTTCCATCTTGATATGTTCGTTTTACGATCGTGCATGCGCGTTCTTTGGTCGAGTTGCACCTTTGCACTCGTTTGTAACCGCTGCCTGCGCGCGTACCGTGCGCGCGGAGGGCGGCGGCGATGGACGGGGGAAAAGCTATGGTGACCTAGGAATGTGCTGCCTGCCAGATTGCACGGCTGTGCTGTGATCTCTGCTCGGCTGGCCTCTGTCCCCTGCCCCATTTAAGAGGCAGACTCCGACCGACGGGAGGCGGCAGGGCCCTTCTACGGAACCTGCTTGGGAGGTCTTTGCCCAGCTTGCCCCGCCTCCCCGCACCTCCCACCCGGCCTCCCAGTTTGCGCTCCCTCTCGCGGCCAAAATTCTGCACTCAAGCACTGTCGAGTGTTCGTCACCCCTCATCCCGCTCCGGCTTCCCCTGACTCACTCTGCTGTGTGCCTTGCCTACTGTCCAGGTCTTTTCATTATTTCCCCTTGGGACCTTGATTCTTCTGTAACTTGCTCACATACCTTGGTTTAGAATTCTCCCCTTTCCCTTGTGCCTCTGCTCCTTGAAGCAGTTCTGCGGATGCGTTACAGTCTAGTAGTCCCTGGGGGCAGAGTCTCACGAGGCAAGAGCTCTTTTCTAACGAATCGCCCGAAGCCCAAGGCAGGAATCGGTTTCCTTGGGTCAGCGGGAGCGGGGCAATAGGATGCCGGGCAGAGTGGGTGGTCCTTGTGCCTGGATTTGGCAGGAACAGCGCACCCCAGGGACCCCTGGAATGAGATTGCAGGGCAATGCAGGCTGAGATGCCTGGAGGCCAGGCCCCTTGGCAGAGGCCCCGGCCCTGCCCTGGGCTTTCCACGTGGAGCCCGATGATCTCATTCAGGATTTGAGTTCTGGCCTGTGAAAGGGTGACTCAGGGCCTCTGCCTGCAGCCTTGCTCCAAGTTTTTACTACAGCGGGGTAGGGCGATGCGCTTACTGCCTTGTTCTGATGGTTGGATTTCAAAGGGGACAAAAGGAAGCCTGCTCACCAAAAAAAAAGGAATAAATAATTTTTGAAAAAAGTGCCTGCTCCCTCAGAGGAGTACATGGTCTTTTTATTTAAAGAAAAGAAAACTTTAAAAATAACATTTTTCAGTGAAAGGAGATACAAATATTTTTGTTACTGTTGTCCTGGGTGTATTTTTGTTTTATTTGCTTTGACTGGTTAGGCTTTCCTTATATACTCTGTGAAGGTAACTATTCTTGGCTAGACCGCCTGTGAGCAAACTATCTTTTCTTGTTTCTTTACAGGAAATGGAAGCGTAAGAAAGAAGCGATTTGTGTCCAGCCCCCGCTACGTGGAAACCATGCTTGTGGCCGACCAGTCAATGGCAGAGTTCCACGGCAGTGGCCTGAAGAACTACCTTCTCACCCTGTTTTCGGTGGCAGCCAGGTTGTACAAACACCCCAGCATTCGGAATTCGGTTAGCCTGGTGGTAGTGAAGATCCTGGTCATCCACGAGGAGCAGAAGGGGCCGGAGGTGACTTCCAACGCTGCGCTGAGTCTGCGTAACTTCTGCAACTGGCAGAAGCAGCACAACCCGCCCAGTGACCGAGATGCCGAGCACTATGACACAGCGGTTCTTTTCACCAGACAGGTGAGGGGAAGACAGCACCAGTGAAGAAAGGGTCCTCTTGGGAGTGTGCTTTGTAACACATTTCTGTGAGGCATTTCATCAGCGTTTCGCAGTTGCATTTCTTTAATTGGCTAGCAAGGTCGTCAACTGCTGCATTTCTTCTATAATTTCAGTATCTCCAGCTTCATAGTCCTTTTTGAATAGCATTAGGAAAAATCTTGTTTAAAGTCACCCGGACTACTCCTCAAAGGCCAGCTCAACACCTGTGTGATGATACACTCTGCCCCAGAAGACCCTCAAGTTCATGTTATGTCCCTATTAATGACGATATACCTTTGCTTCTTACAGGACCTGTGTGGGACCCAGACGTGCGATACTCTTGGGATGGCCGACGTTGGGACTATATGTGATCCCAGCAGAAGCTGCTCTGTTATAGAAGATGATGGCTTACAAGCTGCCTTCACCACAGCCCATGAATTAGGTAAGTCTGTTTCAGAGTAAGAGCTAAGCCCAACTTGTGAATTCAAGATGATAAGCAATACATGAATTAGAGCAAGAGAATATGTAGGTTATACTGCTATTTTAGGTGCCAGGGCTCCTTAGAAAGTACAGAAAATATTTTTTCAACTATTCTAAACATGATCATCTTTATTAGAATGAAAAATCAGATAGTTGGAGTTCTTGACATTTGGACAGTTTACGTATTTGTTCACACTCGGTGAAAAGTAAACATTGTCTCCAAAATAGATGGTCTCCAAAATACACTTTTTTCCTCTAGGAATACCGCGTTGAGACAGATCTCTGTTAGGAATAAAATGCTGCAAATTGGCCTAGATTTTAATGGGGGCTTCGGGTTGCTTCTTAGGCCACGTGTTCAACATGCCGCACGATGACGCGAAGCAGTGCGCCAGCCTCAACGGCGCCAGCCGGGACTCCCACATGATGGCGTCCATGCTTTCCAACCTGGACCACAGCCAGCCCTGGTCTCCCTGCAGCGCCTACACCATCACCTCGTTTCTGGACAACGGCCATGGTAAGGCCCCCAGCTCCTCTCTCTCCACAGCATCCAACTTTCCATAGGTAGAGATCTAGTTCTACGAACTCATCTTCCTTTTTTGTTCTTTATCATTTCCCTCCTCCACAATTACTTCCACTGCCAAGAACATACATCTTTAGATCTTAATTCCAGTAAAAGATGATGCTTCTGGCCAAGTGGCTCCCAACGTACATTAATTTGAATTTTTAGCAGAACAATAATTTCCTGTCATTGTTAATGCAGAAATACCCCATTGAGGATAATATCTTAATTTCAATCTCTCTGGCATCTTCCCCAAAAGTTTGGCAGCTTTCAAATCACGTTGCTCTAAATGATCCCCTGTGAGAAATGTTTTCCTGCAACTGATCTACCCTTGCCTGCTTTCATCTACTATTTATTAATAGCCATTGGCGTTTTTCTTTGCAGGTGAATGTTTGATGGACAAGCCCCAGAGCCCCATACAGCTCCCCTCTGATCTTCCTGGGACCTTGTATGATGCCAACCGGCAGTGCCAATTTACATTTGGGGAGGAGTCCAAACACTGCCCAGATGCAGCCAGCACGTGCTCGACCCTCTGGTGCACCGGCACCTCTGGTGGGTTGCCGGTGTGCCAAACCAAACACTTCCCTTGGGCAGACGGCACCAGCTGTGGAGAAGGGAAATGGTGTGTCAACGCCAAGTGTGTGAACAAGACTGACAAGAAACACTTTGATGTGAGTTTTCTATTCATGCACACACTCCTTTAAAATTTGGAATTGAGCACAGTGATGCCAAAATATCTGGTAGCTCCTTAAATACCCCATCTCTGTTCTTGGGGGGCACACACAATAAGTTATTTTTATCATTGATTCTTTGTCTCATATTTTTCTCTTTTATTCCCTAAGAAGGTTTCTGTAGAGAATTCTAACACTGATGACTTGTGTTCCCATTTAGACTCCTGTTCATGGAAGCTGGGGGCCATGGGGACCCTGGGGAGAGTGTTCTAGAACCTGCGGTGGAGGCGTTCAGTATACGATGAGGGAATGTGACAATCCCGTCCCAAAGAATGGAGGGAAGTACTGCGAAGGCAAGCGTGTGCGGTACAGATCGTGTAACATTGAGGACTGCCCAGACAATAATGGTGAGCAGAAGTGGGTGCACAAGAGGAGTCCACCAAGAGGCAGCTCAGGGGTCGAAACGGATAATGTCGTCATATCATTCTCTTTCCAGGAAAAACCTTTAGAGAAGAACAATGTGAGGCGCACAATGAGTTCTCCAAAGCTTCCTTTGGGAGCGGGCCAGCAGTGGAGTGGACGCCCAAGTACGCTGGAGTCTCCCCCAAGGACAGGTGCAAGCTCATCTGCCAAGCCAAAGGCATTGGCTACTTCTTCGTGCTGCAGCCCAAGGTAGTCATTTTTCCTTTTGGCTACGGCCAAAGGCCTTGGCTTGCTACCTTTTCATGCAACCTATGAGGCACTTTCTTTAATTTGTATATTAACATATTCAGGTTAGAATTAGAATTTATTTTCTTCCGGACACCTCAGCAACTGCCAGATTTAAGTTTGGTGGTGTTTTCAGCTCTGAATGAAGCTTTAACCCAGCACTTATGGTTCTTGCAGTTGCTTATTATTACCCTTATAAACAAGAGCCCTTTACTACTGGTTGTTTAAATTACGTATTAACATAGCAACCAACCAGATTTGGAAAGATAGCCTAGGCATGGTCCAAAGTACTTGTTACTGGGTGACTAGCACCGGCACATGCAAAGAGACTTATTCAAATGGAAGTTTAAGTCTTGATACCTTTTGTGTTTAAGGACATATATTGAACTAGAAGAAGCATCGTTTTGTTGTTTGGCTGAGGGGTTAAACCTTATTAAGATAGAAAGTGGCATTGAATCTGGTTAAGATTGCCATGTGTCGTTATCATTGTAGCCTATAAAAATATTCCCTAGTTGCCGATTCAATAGTTAGCAAGTGATTTTTTCAGCACCTACAATCACCAGGTATTACTCTGGGCACTGAGGATACAGCAGTAAAAAAAATTTCAAAAATAAGTGGACAAAAAGTTCTGCTTTGTTAACCTTAGCTGGAAGTGAAACAGGTCAATAACCAAATAATCAAAAACTTTGTAAGTTTTTCAGATGTCTACATGTACTATGAGGAAAGAAGACAAAGGGGGGTAGTATATGACATATATAAGGCACTGTTTTATTACGATGGTCAGGAAGTCAGAGATGCAGTGTTAATGAAAGAAATCTTTATAGTTATAGCTTCATGTCTTCCCTTGTTAATGTGTGACATTAATGAGTGACACCAGATACATCTTCTTCCTCTCTCAGGTGGTAGACGGTACGCCATGCAGCCCAGATTCCACCTCTGTGTGCGTGCAAGGACAGTGTGTAAAAGCCGGGTGTGATCGCATCATAGACTCCAAAAAGAAATTTGATAAATGTGGTATTTGTGGAGGAAACGGATCTACGTGCAAGAAGATATCAGGATCAGTTACTAGTTCAAAGTAAGTTTTAAAGTGCCGTACTCCCAAAGGTTGTATCACTTAGATGTAACTTTTTACAGGTCTGGTGAAAATTACGTTGTAAATGGCTAAATGGCCATAAAATAATTAGCCACTGGCCAAGTGATCTTAATACTTGTTTTTCTTGCCCGCAGACCTGGATATCACGATATTGTCACGATTCCAACTGGAGCCACAAACATTGAAGTGAAGCAACGGAATCCGAGGGGATCCAGAAATACAGGAAGCTTTCTTGCCATCAAAGCTGCCGATGGCACGTACATCCTGAATGGTGACTTCACCCTGTCCACTTTAGAGCAAGACATTACGTACAAAGGGAGCGCCCTGAGGTACAGCGGCTCGTCTGCCACGCTGGAAAGAATCCGCAGCTTCAGCCCCCTCACAGAACCCTTAACCATCCAGGTCCTGACCGTGGGCCATGCCCTTCGGCCTAAAATTAAATACACCTATTTCGTGAAGAAGAAGAAGGAGCCTTTCAATGCCATCCCCACGTTCTCAGAATGGGTCATCGAAGAGTGGGGCGAATGCTCCAAGTCCTGCGGACTGGGCTGGCAGAGAAGGCTGGTGGAGTGCCGCGACCTCAACGGGCAGCCTGCTTCCGAGTGCGCCAAGGAGGTGAAGCCCGCCAGCACCAGGCCTTGCGCGGACCTGCCCTGCCCCCGCTGGCAGCTGGGGAGCTGGTCGCCATGTTCCAAGACTTGTGGGAAGGGGTACAAAAAGAGAACCTTGCAGTGTCTGTCTCACGATGGGGGGTTGTTGGCTCATGAAAGCTGCGATCCTTTAAAGAAACCTAAACATTACATAGACTTTTGCACGATGGCAGAATGCAGTTAAGCAGTGTGGGTGCTGAAGGAAAGATGAGGTGAGGAAGGGCTGAGGCACTGAAATCAAGAAGGCTGGAGGGATCCAGTGTACCTTGCTGGTGATGTTACAATGCCTGTTCCCTGGTACTGATTCAATACTTTGTGCCCTGGGGGTTGGGAAACGCAAAGCAGAAGAAAGGTGAGATTCTTAATTTAAGGCATGGCTTACTTTACCTCACGAACAATAGAGGGAGAAAGGAGTACAAACAGGAGCTTTGACCAGCACGGCCTGTGGTTGCAAGGATTCCACAGGAGGTTTGTTATCTTTTCTACCGAGAGTTAAGAATTCAGGAATGTCAACCCTGGAGAAAAAGGCATCGCAATGCCAAATGACTCCATCGTTACCTTTTTGTACCACTCTCGCATCTTCGTGAATTTGTTTTGACAAACAATTCCTTGTGTTTGTAAAAAATGCATTAAGTCTCCAAGGGAAAAAAGCAGTGATGTATCAGGTGCTGGTAAAAACCAGAGGAGGCACCCGGAGCTCGGTGCCTCCTACCTTTCTTTCCTCCTTGTGTAAGCCTATGTTAGGAATATGGAAAAAACAGTTTGAGTCTCAAGAAAGTCAGCAAGATCGCGCAAAAAGGTTCTAAGGCCAGAACAAGAATGGGGTGAGCAAAACCAGATCCCCAATGTTTGGGGACAGTGAGATCATTTGTCTCGTGGTGGAGAGGCTACTGAGGGGTAGCAGGTCCATCCCCAGCAGCTGGTCCAACAGTCATATCCTGGTGAATGTCTGTTCAGCTCTTCTACTATGAAAGAGAATGACTTTTGCCATATGTATATAGTAAAACATGTTCCTATAAATTCTATGTACTTTATAAGTATTGGTTTGTGAGTTCCTTCTAAGAAGGACTATAGTATGTAATAAATACCTATAATAACATATTTATTTTTATACATTTCTTTTTAATGATAAAGCTCTTAAGTTATCGTGATTGTAAAAAGGCATATAAAAATATATTATTTATACAATATATGTTACTAGAAATAATAAAATAACACTTTTTGAATATGTTGTGTATATTTTTTTAAGTGGGAACTTATTTCTAGGAAGGAAATTTGAGACACAAATACGGAATTTGAAGAACGGACATTTCCTTTGGAAAAAAGATTTCATTCTAATGAAATGTATTTTCTGTATCCTGGATTATGTGATTGTTACAAAGAAAGCAAGCTATGGTATCTTTGGTGATAGATAGGTTTGTTACTAATGTATAATATATACACATGGTTGGCAGACTTCTTCTGTAAAGAGCCAGGTAATCAATATTTCCAGCTTTGTGGCCCCTACCATCTCTGTCACAACTACTCAAATGTGCTGTTGTAGCATGAAGACAGCCATAGGCAAGACATTAATGAATGGGCATGGCAGTGTTCTAATAAAACTTTATTGACAAAAACAGGCGGTGGGCCACCTTTGTTCTTTGGATGTAGTTTGCTGACCTCTGATGTTTACCGTAAGTTAAATGAGAAAAGGTGGGATTCTGGAAGTACTTGGAATTCGTATGTCTTCCTCAGCTGTTATCACATAACTAAACTTATGGAAGTATGTAAGCTCCTAAACAGAAAACAATGCCTTAATTTACATTGAGAATAGCCACACACAGCAAGCTGGGCCTGCCAAATGTTCCGCTGTCCCTTCAGACAGAGGGAAGGTGTATCAAGGAGACCCTGGAGCACACACGCCCTCCAGGCACCCTTCTGTGAATCACCATATTTTACGTGCTAAATGGCACAGCAAAGATTTTTAAGGCACAGACTGCTTTTAAAGTACTTACCTTTCAGGGAATAGATGATTTACCAGAAGTCTCGGGTTCTGTGGTTAACCACAGACATTTCCAACTTCACACTTCCATCCTTTCCTTCACCCTCCTTCAAAGAGTTTCCTCAAATAGTTTATACAACATGCTAATTTCAGATTCAGATGATAATTTTTTATTTACCCATCAAAATTATTCATAATGTTCTTTTCTGAGAAAAGAAATGTAAGAGTCTCAGGAGCCAGGTGTGCAGGTCAGAGAAGAGGGTGGGAGCGGGGAGACTCATGTTAGCCTCTGGTTGAGATTGCTACTTACTGGGCCACCGGGCTGAAGAGTAAAGGCCAAGTCTGTCCACGCTGGGCACTAGTTTGGTCCCATAGAGCTCGGTTACGCATTGGATTTGGCCGTGTAATTCAGTGGCCGAAGGTGCTCTCTGCACCAATAATCTCTACCACAATTATTTATTTGTTTACATTACTATCAGTGACGTGAAGGATGCCCTCACCCTCAATTACTATACAAGCCGTTTGATGAAATGAGATAAATGTACCTAAAATGACAATTCATAAAGAAGTCATTTTGAGAACTTGCCTAATGCACTGTAAATCGATGTAAAAAGGCTTGCTTCGATTTGACATAGTAAGCAAGGAGACTGAAGTTCAGAACACAACAAGAGGAAAGGTCAAAAGATTTTGCGCTGTTCTCTGTCATCTCAAAGCCAAACAACTTTCTAAGTTGCCCCATTATTTTTTTATCCCTCTGCTGATGACATTTTCATTGTATCAATAAACCGAGCAGTTTAAAACACTCACTTTTGACAGCAAAAAGAGTAGTTCAAAACACATCCAGTTCTGTGAGCTTGATCAGGCACCTGATTAAAAGGAGGAAACATTTTGTGCTCGCTCATGATATAGGTATAAATAATAAGCGGGTGTAATACGGAGTTTTAATTAAAATACTTAATTTGCAAAGCATGCAGTGGGCACTTTCTCTAGCCTCTCAGTAACACCACATAAGTGCAATTTTTGAATTAGAATTTTCATGCAAAAATTGACAAAAATTCACAATTTTTGTTTCTTGTTTAATGTGTCTTAGAAGGGGACACCACAGGTCTTTATATGACTTAGGAATACCAAAAAATAGCCACAATTTGCTAATTAATCCAAATGAAAGAAAAACAAAAGCTATTAATACAAAACTTGGAGGTACTAGATCTATCAAGAAAATTAACCAAAGTTACTCCAGTATGAAGTGTAGTCTGTTCTGCCGTACATAGACTTCTGTGACATGAATGAGCTCATATGCCATTGGCGGAAATGGAAACAGCAAAACATGGAAGATGCTTTGGTTATCAATAAGTTTTCCCAGCGAGGAAGTGTTTTGTGTCTTTTTCTATCAGCAGCAAAACACAAACTATACTCACCCGTGAACATGGCAAGTCACTGAGGAACACGGCGATTCTGAATGCTCACTCACCCACTTTGTCTCTCTAGTTGGTCTCAGTCATGGGAGTTCCTAATGGAGTCTTTGTCCAGTTTGCCCTTGTCTTCATAATTCAGACACCTGAACTTTTCCTTACAGCTCTCTTCCATTAAGCACATTGCCTTCATTTAAGGGTAAATTCCTATAATTATTATACAATCACTCGTTTACCCGTTAGCATTTTTGGAAACTATGGTAGTTTCTTTTTCTTTAGAATTGCTATTGTTTTGTGTTCTACTGCTTTTAAGAGAAGGTACAAAGCATTTACTTGTGCGAAAGCGATAAAGCGGAATTTTATGTGGACCAATCCAGGAAGGCTTCCTCAGTGAGGAGGTTTTGGGAAGGGAATGAGAGGGGTGCAGGGGAACAGCCCTCCAAGGGATGGGATTCAGTAGAAAGGTGGCCACCACAGGTGTGTGCACGTGAACTCGTCTTCGTGGAGGGGACACGAGACCAGTGTGCCCAGGGCTGTGAGGAGAGGCGGGCGCTGGAGGGCAGGGTGCTTGTTCCACAGGAGGAGGGAGCATGTTTAGGTTTTTCTCTGAGTGAGATAAAGAGCCAAGGAGGAAACTGAGCAGAAGAGAGACATTTTTATCACTTAACAATTTAACCTGGAAGGGAACCAGACAGGAAATTATGGCAATAATTGCAATGAATGAGACTGATGGGCTAAACGAGGGTAATAGCCAGAGAAGTCATAAAAGAGGTCAATTTCTTCTGTTCAAGACTTTGAGGTTTGCAGATAAATATTCTAGTTAAAAAGCAACAGAACTTGGAAATACAAAGTTTTTACTAAGTATTGAAACTAGCCAAACGTATAGCTATTGTAATTTTATGATGCATTTGACATAAGTAATTGTTCAAAACATGGTATTAAAATTAACTCAAAATATAAAAATAGTAGTTCAAAGAGAATATATTTGGAAATATTTTAATAATAACAATTCAAGTGTAAAACCATATATCATATTGACAAAATCACAATAAAAGACTAAAAATTCCTTATATTTAAAGTTATCAAAGGATATCATTTTATTCTTCAATTTAGCAACTAGGTAATATAAATGAATGATAGCTCTTGAAAGCAAATATCCAAGTGTGCTTCTTCATTTGAAGAATGGAGAGAGAATCTATGTAATATATAACTCATAGAGAAGAAAATAGAAAGCAAAAAATAAAATGACAGATTCGCAGTCACATTATCAAGACAATCCATTGTTTTAACTTTCCTACTAAAAGACAAATATCTTCCAGATGTGTTTAAAAATAAAATCCAAAACATGATAAATGAAAAGGAACTATCTAAATCGAAATGTCATTTCTTCAAAGGAGTTCACAGATTTATCAGGCAAACAGTAGAAATAAGGAGGAATAAAATATCAGCCAAAATTATATTGAAGATGGAAAAGCACTAAGCAAAATAAAGAATAACATTTCTTGTAAATTAAAGGTAGAATTTACAATGAAATATGTTTCCAAGCTAATAGAACATCTATGTATCAATTTCAAATTGTTAGAAATACAAAGGATAATCAACAGGTAAGGACTATTCTGTTTTTGAAAACTTTCTCTAGGTAAAAACAAACTAAACATGTAAGAAGAAAACGAAACACTTTACAAAGACAAAAGAAGACTTGACTAAAGCAAATGACATACATATTTCTTTACTCTAAGTCATGAACCTTTTTATTTTGTCCTAAAATAATGAGTAGATGTAATGAAATTCCAATCATTAGCCATTCATAATTTTTGGAATTTGATAGCTTGATTCTAAAGTTCATCTGAGGAAATCAATTTGGTGAAGATAAAGAGAAACACAGCTAAACACAAAGTGCAATGTAAGTTTGACCTGATTTGAAAATGCACCATAAAATTACAATTAGAAAAAACGTGGTACTTGAGAAATATTGACAAACATATCTGTGGGTGAGACATATATCTCAGAAATAAATGTTAATCATAATCACAAAACCTTAGTATATGATGACATTAGCACTATAAAACTGTGAGCTAAAAAACATCATTCCAAACATAGCCTAAAATAAAAACAAAAGAAACTTGTTTGGAAAAAAATTAGAGCCTTTCTCAGATAATTCAACTTAACTTCCAGATATATAAAAAGTTAAAACACCTAAACAGAAGCTTAATAAATATTAGCAAATATAGAGAAATAGTTATTACTGCATGAAGAAAGATATCCGAACATAAAAAAACAATGAAATATTACACAGCAAACAAACACACAAAAATAGATTGACTTGATTGGCTAAAAACTTTAATTTTCTGTGTTTTAAAAGAATCCTTTTAAAAATATTTTTTAAAAAACTATTTTCAGTAAACACAAAAGACAAGAACCCAACTTGCCTCAGGACTTTCCCACAGGCTATTTGTTTCATCCGAGTCCCAAATAGCTACTCCATTAACTACTAGTCACCCATAAGATCTCATACCACATGTCACTTTTCCAAGGAAGTCCTTCCTAAACACTCAGTCTTGACCACACTCTCAAAGCATTCGGCACATTCCCTTCTTGTCACTTTTGACAGAAATCATAGATTGTTCTACCTCTGGGTCTGTTTTGTTCACTATTATTTTCCCAGGTCCCAGAACTGTGCTTGTGAGATATTATTTTTATTTAATAAAAAACCCTCAACAATAGTCACATTATTGGATCTAGATATTTCTACTTCTAAGGATCTATGCTAAATAATTAATCAACTAGGTTCACAAGGATTTATATACAAATGTTACATAAATCTGAATGCAGCCGACAGAGTATACTAAAGACTATTGATGACGATATGAAACTTGAATCTCAAATAGTAATAATGATGGTTAATATTCATTTAAGGTCACTGTGTATTCCATAAATTAGCTCAGTTAATACTACAAAGAGCTATGATATAGATATTATCATTATTCCTGTCTATAGATAAAGAAATGGGCAAAGAGAAATAGAACTGCTTGGTGAGGTAAGACATTTAGCAAGAGGCTGGGCAAGGATTCCAATTCAAACATCCAGCTTTGAGAGCCTGAACCCTCTCTACCCTCAAATGCTAAGCCATATTACACTGTCCGTTACACACACACACACACACACACACACACACACACACTCACATTCAATGCCTGT